TTTCTCATTTTCGTTGCATAATTATATTTTATTTTACTGATGAAATAAAAAAAAAAAAAAATTGTAGGTAACAATAACTACACTGATATCAATCACCCTATTTAAAAACAATGTTTGACTGGAGACAGGTGGACATAACCCTGAGCCAGCCAAATTATAGTGGGCTTACTAGTGAACTAGTTGTTCAGACCAAATTTTGCAAATATGCAGTTTTGCACATCCCTCGTCTAGACTAATTCTTCTGAACAAACTATGCTTAAGAAAATGTTCAAAATACAGTTAATTGCACTGGGTTTCAAGTGGGTCTGCTCTATTGATATAGCTGTATATCATCTAGCTACCTGTTTTCTGCACTAGACATTGTTATGAAGAACACATAAGCCTAGCTAAACAGCAGGCTGCTTGCGTTGTGGGTGGTGTGGTGGTGCAGACAGGAGCTGGTCCCTTCTGCACTCTCATTAGAGCGGAGAACTACATGGTCAGGCGCATCCGCTGCCGTGCTCTCCTGAGAGTTTGACTGCAGTTCATCTCCACACCCAGCCAAGGAATTTTGGCTTTGAATTATCCTCTTCCCAATCCTCCATGGCCTGTTGAACTCAAGATATGGATGAGATAGCTGGAGACAGTGCAGTCTTCTCGAGAATTGCTTATAATTAGATAAAGCAAATTACACCACAGCAGAACAACTCCAAACTGTGTTACTCATCCTGTTAGATATAGGACGCTATGAGTAAATTTCTGGTCTGAAATAAAAAATAAAAAAATTATGTTCTTTTATGCATTTCAAAACGACATCTAGTAGCTAAAGTGATATTAAACATGAATAACATTATCCTACTGTATGTTTGTAGGTCAATATCATAAATTTATTTACACTGTTAAAGAGTTGGATTCTTATGCTAATTATGGCCAAAGTTTCAAAAGACGAGTTGGGCGTATGACGGAGTATTTCTGTAGCAAATACACTCCTTCTGGGTTCGAATACGTTTCAGAAAGGTTTTTTTTTTCCGAGTATGGCGAGTATTTTCAAGAATTCCTTATCTGGGCACTTCTCCCGGAAGAGCGCGCGCACACATCAACCGAGCAAGAGCAAGGCCATCAGCGTGCTTCATTCGGTTACGGAAGTTGTCGACAGCGCTGCACAGGGCTTGCTCGAGAAGAATGTCTCCAAAAAAAAGTGTGTTTTTGGTTGTGAGGGAAAGATAACCTTGTTCAGCTTCCCAAAGAACCTAGAGTTAAGGGAACAGTGGATGCAGTTTGTATTTCCGGGGCCAGGATTTCCATATTGCCTAAAATATCCAGGTTTTGTCTTTGTTTTCCTGTTTCGCTGAAGGTTATGATCAAAAAGTAGTTTGACCAATAACATTGGTATTGGCATTGTACATAATTGACCAATCATGGCACGTGAGAAGATGGGATCTACAGAGAATGGTCAAAGCGATGCAAATACGCGTACATATTAGGTGTGTTCTACTTGAATCAGTGCTTTGCAGACTGATTGGTGTATGACATCAAAGTATTGCGAGAGCAATTCGAAAGCATAAGGAGCCGTCTATTCTCTATAGCTCTCATGGTACTTTGATGTCATAACATCGATCGGTCTGTGCAGTGCAAACAAAGCCAAAACCTGGATATTATAGCCAATATAGAAATCCTGGCCAGGACGTGTCCGTGAAAAGTCGGAACCTCAGGCGGTAAGTAAAACTGCAACAAATTTCTGTTTTGTTGGCAATCGGCACATAAGTGCATATAATGTAAACAACACAAACGTGCTTGACACTTTAGCTTTTTTTTTTTTTTCTCAGAGAGAAGCTGTAAAACTGTATCTTTCTTTTATAAATCTGATAAAACTAAAGACTCTTCGGATATGTAGGATGCAATACTACTCTATAGGTACTCAAGAGTAACATGAGATTGGCAGAAACTGTGCGTTTTATGTCCACTTTAAATCAAATTCAGTTTCTTGCCTGATGAGATAAGGAACAAGCATTGTTTGTCTTTTTAAAATGTAATTACAGCTTCATTGGTCTTCGGAGACATTGGCGTAATTCTGCATTATATACATTCCTGATGCCAAACAGTTCATTTTAACGCAGCGTGGCAAATACTATTGTGCCTTTGACATACAGTAAAGATCTCAGATCCAACCTATTTTGCTAAAGGTGACCTACCCATTATAATTGCGCAACAGTGGAGAGAACAATCAGTGGGCCCCCTGCCAAAATTATTGGCTGTGGCAAGTATTTGCTTCAAATTCTGAGCTCTAAAGAGCATATGCAGAACGTTAACCTTCAGGATCCTGCCACCTGTTTAACACCAGCAGCAAACGATATTGAAAGCAAAAAAAGTTGTTTGAGTTAAAGATGATTTTTGAGTTGAACATGAAGAGTAATAGTAATGGGACAGTTCAGTGGAACTGTGATCAAACTCTCGTCACTCACCCTAATTTCTCCATTATTGGCTTTTGCGTTGTGATTGAAGGCCTGAGCTGGGTCTTTGTGATAAACTTTCAGGCAAGAGTGTGATGTGATGTTCCTGCAAAGAAAAAGAAAACACAAATATATCTATATATATATATATATATATATATACACAGTGGGGAAAAAAA